TCAATTAAAATAACTTATTCAAATAATTTCTAATATAAATTTATAATTTTATTTATATTTACATTATGTAAATTTAATATTGAATAACTGATTATATTTTTTTAACTTTCATCGTTAATTAAATCCCTCTTACATAATTAAACACTTAATATATAAACCTAAAAGACGTAAAATAGTCTTCCAATTTACGATTCGATGGAAACGTAACTTAATAAACGACGCGGCGTAGTGCGGCGAGACGATAATAAACACCCTAATTCACGCTAAATCAATCGAGGGGCATTCAAATTCTCTCTCTTTCTCTCTCTTTCTCTCTCTCTCTCTCTCTCTTTCTCTCTCTCGCGACCGAGTGTCTTTCCGGCCAATAGGCTAGCGACGATCGGCTCGCGCTCACGGCAATCGCCAATCGGCGGCAGTTTGTCGTCCACGTGGAATAGCAATCCACATATAGAAGCGTGATGTCACGTGCGCGCGACAATTGTTCACGATCTTTTCTTCGTGAGTGGGAAAACACGATTTTCAAAAATGCGGCCACGCGATCTTACACGCTTGGTCGGACATGCCGCGACGGCGTTGCACGCGCACCGTCGATCGTTGTCGCAGCTCCGCGTTGGAGTACCGTCACGTCACCAGCACGGCTGGCGAAACAAGTGTCTGTATACAAGATGGCGGCGCCCGGAATTGAGACCGTCGCGAGGATCGCGAGGAAGCAGCAGCGTGTGTCGATGATGCTGCAGCGACGAGGAGAGTGAAGTGAACGGGTGGCCGGTGCTACGTGCGCGGTAACTACGACAACGACGACCCGACTCGATCCGACCGACCGGTGCGGTGCGGTGCGGCGCGGCGCGGCGCAGCACGGCGCGGCACGGCGGAGTACGGTACGGTGCGGTGCGGAGCGGTGCAGTGCAGGGCAGTGCGTGTTGCCTAGCCTATCCCGGGTAGAGCGGTATCGCAGCGAGCCGAGCATCACGGCAGTGGTAGCGGCAGCGACAGCGACAGCGATAGCGACTGCGGCGGCGGCGGCGACGGTTACGGTGACGGAAGCGTCTCGAAAGATGCGGTCCGAGCAATGGAAGAAACGGCAGGGATTCGACGCGTAGCCTTGGCCAACGGTGGTTGGTAGGCAGGCAGGCAGGTAGTCGAGCGGATTGGGACGTAGGCGCGTCAGGCAGGTAAACGAAGAGGTCCGAGGCGTGGGATCTCGTCGGTGGGAGAGGAAGTGCGGCGAGGACTACGGTCAGTTTCGTCCCAGGCAGCGTCACGATTCACAATCGTGCGGAGCTACGTCCTCTACGTCGTTTATCGTCATTCCATTTCCATACCGCGTACGTCCGGCTGGGAGATAGCGAAGTGCGAAGCGACTACGTTGTCTAGTCTGTGCGTCGCTCCCTGTAGTCTCGCCATTGACGCCGACGGCGACGCTGCTACGGAGCA